GCATGTCTGGACCAAAAACAGCCAGAGGGGAAGGGCTCATCAGGGCTAAAGTCCAGTGGGAGCAAAGACAGGATAATTTTCATAAATTTAGAAATCCATCTTCGAATAAAGCAGATTTAAATTCCATGTGTCCTCAATGCCATGATGCACCATCTAAACATCTATTGGTAACTTTTTAGGATAAAAAGAAGCTGTGTTTTGTTTTGCTGACCAACAGTAATATAGACATATCTGCACCATACCATGCCTTGGTACTTGGTCAAGAGTAGTGGTCCTCAAACCACCAGACATCGCAATTGTCTGGAGGGTTTGCACAATGCACATCACCAAGCCCAGGCTCAGGGATTCTGATACTGTGCTTTCAGGAAGGGTCTGCAAGTCTAAACTTTGGCTAGTGCCTTCTATGAATCTAATACAAGAGCACATTCTGAGAATCAATGATCTATAGATCCTTATGATTCATTAATGATCTAAAATAACATCATTAATTTTAAATCATTTCTTTAAAATCAACTGGAATGGGGCACCTGACTGGCTCAGTCATTTAAGCATCTGACTTCAACTTAGGTCATGATCTCACTCTTTGTGGGTTCAAACCCCGCATCAGGCTCAGTGCTGACAGCTCAGAGCCTGGAACCTGCTTCGGATTCTGTGTCTCCCTCTCTTTCTGCCCCTCCCCCACTTATGCTCTGTCTCTCTGTCTCTCAAAAATAAATAAATAGAAAACGTTTAAAAAAATCAGCTGGAACTTTGTAGTAGATAAGTACTTGGTCCCTATCTTATATCACAAAGAAGTGAGCAGACCTATTTATTCAGCCTTTAAAAGGAAGGAAATTCTGACAAATTCTACAACGTGTGGACCTTAAGGACATTGTGCGAAATGAAATAAGCCAGTCACAAAAAGACAAATGCCGTACTATTTCAGGTATTTGAAATACCTAGAGTAGTCAAATTCATAAAGACAAAATAGAGTGGTGGTTGCCAGGGCTAGGGGGAGGGAGGAATGGGAAGTTAATGTTTAATGGGTACTTAGTTTCATTTGGGGAAGATGAAGACTTCTGGAGATGGGGATTGCACAGCAAAGTGAATATGCTTAATGCCAATAAATTGTACACTTAAAAAATGGTTGAAATGGTAAAATACTAATAACAACAACAAGTGTGTATGAAGAAAAATGAGCAGATCAACCTCTCCCAGCTGTGGTAATTCTTTGCTTTCTTCTGAGACAGTTAGTGATTTCTTCACCTTTGATTACACTCCCTAATATGTAACAAATAATCCTTTTACACCTGCTTAATGACAAATAGAACACAGTTCTGTCTACCTTTACCTTAAGTTCTCCTCATTACTTTAATTTTTTTAATGTTTATTTATTTTTGAGAGAGAGACAGAATGCAAGCAGGAGAGGGGCAGAGAGAGAGGGAGATACAGAATCCGAAGCAGGCTCCAGGCTCTGAGCTGTCAGCATAGAGCTGGACATGGGGCCTGAACCCACGAACTACAAGATCATGACCTGAGCTGCAGTCAGATACTAAGTCAACTGAGCCACCCAGGTGCCCTCTCCTTGGTACTTTAAAACAAGAAAATATGGTCAGGCAGCCATTCCTCCAAAGATGAGTAATGGCTTCACTTATAGTAAACTTACATCTGGCAGCTCTATTCCCACTAACTTTTTATTTCAGTGAGGCATTGGAGCGATGTCTTTTATTTGTGTGATTTTTGCCTTTTTTTAAAAAAGAAAATTGTCTTTTTTTTTAAATATCGTTTATTGTCAAATTGACTAACATACAGTATGTAAAGTGTGCTCTTGGTTTTGGGGGTAGATTCCCGTGGTTCATCCCTTATTACAACCAGTGCTCATCCCAACAAGTGCCCGCCTCAATTCCCATCACCCATTTTCCCCTCAACCCCACTCCCCCCCATTCTACCTTAATTTGTTCTCTGTATTTAAGAGTCTCTTATGGTTTGCCTCCCTTCCTCTCTGTAACTGTTCTCCCCGTTCCCTTCCCCCATGGTCTTCTCTTAAGTTTCTCCAAGATCCACCTATGAGTGAAAACATATGATATATCTCCTCTGACTGACTTATTTCATGGAGTGATATCCTTTAAAAAGACCTTTAAAATAACTATTAGGAACTCAAATTTAAGTGAAAGTTTAAATCCATGGTACTTTCAAGGCCAGCCACTCAATCCAGGTGGTCCTTGGAGGAAGAGATGCATGTCTCCATGGCTGAATTCGCACGTGCTGGTGGTGACAGCAAGAGGGAGTGGCAAGTCTCTCTTGGCACTGGTTTTAAGAATATTTCTGAACAGAAATACTCAAATGTGGATAAAATTATTTACCAATCATGGTTCTTGGTAGCAAACCAAAGAAACTAATTCTGGCTAACTTAAGCAGAAAAGGAAATTTGCAGAAAATCAGGTTGTTCACAGAGTTAATGAGTCGGTTGGAGAGCTAGTCTTGAAAACTAGGTTAGGAAACCACCACCCCTGGACTGTCAACTCATCACCTCTGCCATGAATATATTTTCATTTTCCCTGTGGCTTTGCATCATTACATCAGGATTCAATACCCACTCTGGTAGAAGGAGATGACTCTGGTTCTAGACCACGTGTCTGTACCCCAGCCTGCCAGCGAGTGGGGCATGAGACTGCCTGCCACACCTTCAGCTTCTATGATGCACAGGGCACCCCCTTCCCAATAGGAAGGGTGTTCAGCAAAACTCAACTCGTGTCCACTACAGCGTCCACATGCAGGTCCTTCTGGTGGTCACTTCCAAAACATCTTACCTGCCACCCAGGGCCTGGCATCATCATTCACCTGCTGAGGGTCTCCTACCTGGCATCTGGGGCTATCTGGCACCCAAGTCTGTCTCGAATGACAGACCACCTTGGGGGGGCATTTGTTCTGGCCCTGCAGGGACAGAACTCAGAATGAAATCTTGACTCTGAATCCTTACATACTACAGTGTGACCCCGTTCAGTAGGTCTTTGATTTTCCTCTGTTCTAACCTGACTGCTGATAGTGATCAAAATAAACTCTGGCCCACATTCTGACAACTACCTTTGCCTTCCTTGTCCCCAGGGAATCAGGGAGTGCCATGGTGAGAGACAGTATAAAGAAGTGAAAAGCATGAATGGGAAATATATAAACATGCAGTGATGATAAACACCACAAATAGGGCAGTACTTTCCTCTGGGGAATGTGCTTGGGGATCGGTTTTCGGAGGGCTTTGGCATTTCTGAATGTTTTGTTTTCCTTATTAAAATTGTGTCTGGATCCTTTCTTTCTTCAACTACTCCCTTTACACCTGTTCTTCAAATTTATGGAAACTTTAGTCCAACGGCCCCTTTTATTTTTGAAAATAGATCATTCCCTAGACATGTTCTCATCTACGTCAGATCCCTCAAAGTCAATCAGTATCCCAACTTTGAATATTTTTGTATGTGTGCTATAGTATGTATCCATTGGCTCTTGAGTATTGCTTTGTCTTTTTAACATTTTATGTGAATGTTATCATACTGTACACAGCCTGCTGAAACCTGATGTTTTTACTCACCAGCCTTTTGGAGATTGGCCTGTGTTGACAAGTGAAAATCCAACTTATCTTCACCACTCTACAGTATTTTGTAATTTAAATAAAGTAGATAAATTCTTTAAAGTATCTGAAGCTGACAAGGCAGAGTGTCAAAATTTATTAAAGTTATGGGTTGGGTATATCAGCATTCATCATATTATATTCGAGACTTTTATGTGTGTTTGGAAGTTCTCAAAGTCTGTTAAAAGGGGTGATAACACCAAATAGGAGTCAGGAAAGGTGCCATCTTGGCTTTAACTGGACTGCATTGAGACGGAGTCCACAGCTAATCAGACTGAGATAAAAAATTAACCTGGTGGCACTAGTCTCCTCTTACTTGCTTTTTGTGGGCCTCTGCCTCCCTAGGGAGATGCCCGAAGCAGGCCTTGACCATGGCCTGTGAGGAGTGTTTATGTAGCTGCATGATTTGAGTATACTGGCACACTGCCAAACCGAACTAAACAGAATCTGTTGTGGTCCTATCCATTTTTAAAAAGAAATTGGCAAAAGACCCATTTCACACAATGGCTGTGAGACATGATTTTTTAACAAATATTTATAACTTACTTAAGATATAAATAGCCCAAATGATAAATACTGGTCAAAGTTTTGGACAGGCCAAACTTTGGCCTCCTTAACACTCTTTTTTTTTTTTTAATTTTTTTTTTTTATGTTTTATTTATTTTTGAGAGAGAGAGGCAGCATGAGCAGGAGGATCAGAGAGAGAGGGGGTCACAGAATCCGAATCAGGCTCCAGGCTCTGAGCTGGCTGTCAGCACAGAGCCCGACGCGGGGCTCAAACCCACGAACCGTGAGATCATGACCTGAGCCGAAGTCGGACACTTAACCGACTGAGCCACCCAGGCGCCCCGTCCTCCTTAACACTCTTAAAAATTTAGGATAAGAGAAGATAATTCTTCTTTTGTTGTGCTTACTAGACACCCCATGGAACCCCAAGTGGCCCCCAGGTTTTCTTCCTTCACCATCTCTGCCTCTTTCAGAAAAGTGAGCCTTTGGCAGAAGGGAGAGCTTTTGACCCAGGGCCCATGATTTTACAGAGCCATTGATCAAATTTGCCATTGATTCCAGGACTGTACCAGGGGAAATAAGAGAATCGTGGGGACTGAATGAAATGACAGATAAGGAAGTAAGTGATGCCCAATCAAAGTGCCCATGAGCACCTTTATAGTCCCTGTTTCTTCCCAGGGAAGGGCTCCTGGGATCCTCAGCATTCACTCCTGAATACATCCAGCCCCAGGGGGCTCATTTGAAGTGATTTTCAGGCCATGGAACCTCCACTGCCTCCTTGGAAGGTGGTGCTCTGTCCTTGGCAGCTGCCAGAGAACCAATGAGTCCCCAGCCCTTCTAGTAAATGCGTCTTCCAAGCAGTTGGCCACACTCACGTGCCCTTCTCTCCACCTAGGCTATGACTTCTGCCAGGTCCTGCAGTGGTTTGCAGAGCGAGTAGATAGGATCATCCTGCTGTTCGATGCTCACAAACTGGACATCTCAGATGAGTTCTCAGAAGCCATCAAGGCCTTCCGGGGCCAAGATGACAAGATCCGTGTGGTACTGAACAAGGCCGACCAAGTGGACACGCAGCAGCTGATGCGTGTCTATGGGGCCCTCATGTGGTCCCTGGGCAAGGTCATCAACACACCCGAGGTGCTTCGAGTCTACATCGGCTCCTTCTGGGCACAGCCCCTACAGAACACTGACAACCGCCGGCTCTTCGAAGCCGAGGCCCAGGACCTCTTCAGAGACATCCAGAGCCTTCCGCAGAAGGCAGCCGTGCGCAAACTCAACGACCTCATCAAGCGAGCGAGGCTGGCCAAGGTGAGACAAGGAGACAGGCCAGGCAGCAGGGGACCCTTTCCATTCTCTCCTTTCTAAGAGAAGGGCGGGGGGGGAGGCTCCATTCCAGGGCCCCTCAGGAATGGAACGTGGAAGAGGTTAGGAAGAAAGCCTCAAGATCACTACGCTTGTTAAGATTCTGGTTCCTACTCTGTGATCTTAGCCAAATGAGTCAACCTTTCCAAACCTGTTTTCTAATCTGTAAAATGGAGCCAATAAGAGCACATCATAGGGGGCCTATGAGGATTCAGTGTGACCTGGCTTGCAGAGCACATGGGAGGGATCGATGCCTCACCACCTGGAAGCTGCTATTGTCTTAGGACGATGGGAACGCAGCCAGCTGAACCAGAGGGGTGGTGTCGGTGGGATCATTATGGTGCTGAGATGCCACCACTAGTCACCCTGGGCCTAAGTCAGAGAACTGGATGTTACTGCCTGGAGTCAGGCAGGAAGCTTGATTCAGCCTGACCCACGGAGTGTGCTGCTTTGGGGGTGGCACCCCATCCCCATTGTTGCTGGTAGCCTGTAGGCATGCCTGCTCTGCCTCTGGGCTCCTCCATCTCGTAGCTGAACCTTATGGCAGCCCCAGGTGTGGGTACCCAACGGGGTAAGTGGTCATCTGCTAACCACCCTCAGGTACTGTCGTTGATTCTGTCACAGCTCTGAAGAGAGAAAAGCATGGGACTCCTCTAAGAAAAAAGTATGGAAAAAAGATGGTTCTTTAAAAGCTGTGTGTACATTTCATAAAATCATATTCCTTTGGGGTGCCTAGGTGGCTCAGTTAGTTAAGTGTATGACTCTTTATCTCAGCTCAGGTCTTGATCTTGTGGCCATGAGTTCAAGCCCCATGTTGGGGATTTAAAAAAAAAAAAATCCTATTCCTGTAATGCTGGAAGTACCCCAGAGTTTGTCTAGTCTCAGTGATCATCAGAAGCAGCCTGGAGCTTTCACAGTGTAAATTCCTAGGCCCTGCCCAGGAGCTTCTGATTCAAGTGTGTGTGTGCATGTCTGTGTGTGTATATGTGAGTGTGTGCATATGTGTGTGTAAAGCTCCCCAGGTGATTCTGATAATCAGCCACATTTGGAAGCCAGAGGTCTATCCACTCCCGAAGTTTAGAAGGATAAGGTAGAGTAAGCAATTTCTCCAGAGTCACCTAACCCATGGGTAACAAAACTAGAACCAAAAGACAGCCCCCCTGCTCTCAGCCTAGCCCTGTGCCTTGGTCATATCCATTAAAACCAGTCCACAGGCCCCTTCTCCCAATCCACTCGTACCCTGGTCAGGAAGCAAGGGCAGCTTACTTCCCCTTTGTCTCCTGGTGGTGAAGAAACCATGTCCCCTCCCTTATCCCCTTGCTGTACAGAGAGTGACTTCTGGTCTGGCCTTGGGGCCCGGCAGCCACCCTTCTAGAATCCATTACCCCTTGCCTCGTTCAGTCAGTATTGCTCAGCACCCCTGGGCTGGGACTGGGGAGCCTAGCTGGTAGAAGAGGAGGCCCCAAATCCCCCATTACAGAATGGTGAGCGTGTGCCGATTGCACTGTGGACACCATGCTCTGAGTAGGGGGATTGGCCAGGGAAGGCAAGGAGGGCTTCGCTGAGGGTGAGTGTGGGGCAGGCAATCAGCCTTCTAATGCCTCCCCATCATTGCCCAGCAGCCTCTGTCTTCATTCCAGCATGCTCACCCAGCAGCATCTCTCTATAGCCAAAGAGACACCCCCCATCCCCCCTCACCCTGCAGGCCACTGTAGCCCCACATGTAGGACTTCCATCTGCTTGTTTTCTTTCTCTTGCCATCACTCCCGGTGCGTGCTCACATGTACTCCCAGATCGCCCAGCTGATCCACAGTCACTGTGCACCTGCGAGCCTCCATTCTTTATCCTTTCTTCCAGGCTGCTTCCTTTCTGGAGCTCCAGCCACTTTGTTCCAGTTCTTCAAGGCAGTGGTGCTAACCAGTTTGTAAATCCACTTATTTGCAGCTTTCCTGATTTCTCTCATGCACTAGTCCTAGGCCTAATGCTTAGTGGCAGGAAGTCTCTTTTTTCCCCATTTGGTAACTCCTTAGCATGTGATATTTCTATTCTTCAGCTGATACAGCTGAACTTACCCTTCAGCGTACACAATACCCAACATTATTTTATAACCAAAGCGGAGATATCATGTGATAGCCTTTGTAGATTTAAAGATTTTTTTTAACTATTCATAAATGCCCATGGACATCTCTACTTTACCAGTCACTGCTGAAGGCCTAGTGACTCAAGATGCAGCTGTATTCAGTCATATAAATAAGAAGAGAGCAAAGAGTTCACTGGGCGTGCCAAGTGCCTTGGGACTACTCCGCCCTCTTTGAGCATCAGGCCCTCTGAACGGACCAGCGTGGCCACAGAAAGCAGCTCTGTACTAACACTGGGAATAATGAGAGCCTTGTGTAGATGCAGGGGATGGGGGGCAGGGGCAGTCAACTTGCTGAGCTTACTTCTAGGAAAAAAGCTGGTCTTTTTTTTCTTCCTAAGGATAGTATCTGGCTTGTTCCTTTTCATAAAGGAAAATGTCTGAAGGCTGAGCTTCTCAGTGCCAGTGTGCTGGGCGGTACCATCCTGTGAAGGGGGACAGGAAACAGAGTCTCAAGCGGATAAGAAGCAGAACTCAACACAGTGGCCTTAGCCACAGACTGATGTCATCTGATTTTTTTAAATTTTTTAAAATGTTTTATTTATTTCTGAGAGAGAGACAGACAGACAGCATGAGCAGGAGAGGGTCAGAGAGAGAGGGAGACACAGAATCTGAAACAGGCTCCAGGCTCTGAGCTATCTGTCACCACAGAGCCCGACATGGGGTTCAAACCCACGAAATGTGAGATCATGACTTGAGCTGAAGTCGGATGCTTAACCGACTGAGCCACCCAGGTACCCCGATGTCATCTGCTTTATACCATCTGCAACTTGATGGCCATTTGTGAACTTGTTGCCTAAATGGACAAGGAGTCACCTGGGTTTTTCTCTTTGCAGTGTTTATATTTCAGGAAAATGCTCTTTGATCTTGGCATTTTGATCTTTATTTCTCTTGATCCAGTTTTGTAAGCCAACCCTTCCTGAGGGTGTGAAGTATTCCAGAAGCTCTATGATTTGTATTACATGTGTTATTTCATCTGATCCCATCAATAACTACACAAAGTTGGACATGATCTTTGTTTCTCATGCAAGGGAACTGTAGCTCAGAAAGGTGAAGTAACTTGCCAAGGCTTCACAGCCCATAAGTTGTAAAAGATAAATTCAAGCCATAGTTAGTTTGACTCCTTGGTTTGGAAAGCATTTACCTGAAATGCAGAATGAACAACATCTGTAGCTTCTCACCATGTCCTTGCTTTCTGCATTAGTCTGCCGCTCTGTGTCTTCTATAAAATTGTTTATCCACAGGAACCCTAGGATAGGTTTCCAGATGTCACCTAGGAGATGTCAGATCTGGGTTGGGGTGTGCACTGTATCTATAGAACAACTTAATTCAGCAGAAGTCACGTCCCATCCAGAAGTAAAGAACTATAATCACTAATGTCCTGCTGGGTTCTGCAGTGATCAAACTCAAGGTGACATAAAAAGGAACTTTAGTAATTGAAAAATAGCACTCTTACCGAAGATCTCTTGAAAGTTTCCCTGCTTCTTCTATATATATATATTTTTTTCATAACTCTTTATTTCAAGGAACAAGAAAACTTTAGGTGTTTTGGTTAACCTCAAAAATCACATTTTCATAATATCAGTAGGCATCCTTTTTTGAAGACTATAATCTAAGATGCTACTCAAGGCTCATTTCATGATTCTTTAGGCTATTTTGGGAAAGTCAAAAAAAGTATTTAAAAAACATAATTCAGTTTTATTCAGCTTTAATTAAAATAGCCAAATTAGGGAAATTAGGCTCTTACAAACAAATCCCAAATAAAAATACTTATGGAATAAACAAACAAAAATAAAAAGTGAGGACTCCACCCTTTATAAACATTGCCCAAGAGTAGGAAAAGTTCCCACCCCTTTCGAGATCTTCACTCAACAAAAAAAAATGACTCAACATTTGAGGAAGGAACAGCTAAAAATGAGAAAGAAAAAGAGAGGTCAGTGATTTTCAGGGCTCACCCTAGCTCTGCAGCACTTTGTTTTGTCTTCAAAGCCTGTTCTTCAGTCACATGAAAACCCAGGGCCCAGCTTTCCGGTCTGTCTGCACTGCCAATTCCTTCTGTAGAGAAGTTAGATGTTTTGAAATTCGCCAAATGGACCCAGGCTAAGGTGTAAGAATCCTACAGTGGCTGGTGGCGACCTGCTAATGCTTAGCCTACCAAGGGACTTTTAAAAATAGCTCAGTCAGCTGTGGATATGTGTGTCAGTATTTGTGCCCATGTAGGGAAGCCTGTCTCTTTGAAGGTTGACCTCAAATGAGTGAGTGGGTGGGCCCCCTTGAGTCCCCTTTAAGCTGTTCAGAATTAGATGCTATGGGTGCCAGCTTTGATTGCTACAAAATAACAAACCCTCTGCTCCAGTGAGAAGCAAGGAGCTGCCTTTCTCTGCCTCTATAGTCTCACACTTTTACTATCCCATGGGTCCACCTTTTGGGTCTCTACTTTATTAACTGAGTTTTTCTATGTCCCCATAAACCTACTTTCTTTTTTAATGTTTTTATTTATTTTAGAGAGAGAGTGAGAGAGAAAGAAAGAGACAGCATTAGCAGGGGAAGAGGCAGAGAGAGAGATGGAGACAGAATCTGAAAAACTCTCAGGCTCTGAGCTGTCAGCACAGAGCCCAACACGGGGCTCAAACTCCTGACTGTGAGATCATGACCTGAGCTGAAGTCAGACACTTAACCAACTGAGCCACCCAGGTGCCCCTAAACCCACTTTTAAAATGTGCTGATTCCCTGATGTGAAATACTCTATGCAAATTTCAAGCTGGGCTACAAAGATTCAGGTCTCTAACAGGTAGTGTTAGCTTGCAGA